AGGTAACCGCTGCTTGATAGGTTTCGAAAACCAAGTAACAAGAACATCCTTGTTCATTTCCTCTCTTCCCACCCTTCACACACAAAAAGGGCGATTGTGAGAAACATGTTTCGAACGGCCACCTCTGTGTGCACTACCAGGGAACTAAAGGAAGAATCGCGCGACTTGGCTGGACAAATAGCCATCTCCAATGGCTACGAAATAGTAACCCCACGAGATAAGTTTACAAGGAGAACGACGCGCCCACGCGAAACACTTGGCCAAAAGAAAGTCCCGTTCATGTTGCCTTTTATAAAGCGATGAAGTAAGCGTAGCTATAAAACGATGCTTAAGAAGGGCAAGTCTAGAGGAATCGGTAGCGATAGTTGGAATACCACCGGCTACTCAACGTCGCCAATAAGTTCGCAACCACCTGTATGACGGTCTGTGTGAAACAACAAATTTCGTAATTTGCCCTTACGGCAGGAACGGTGATTGCATGGGTTCAGGTACGATATACCTGATCTCTTGTAACAATTGTGGAGATGAATATATTGGCGAAACGGGCAGACCTTTGTGTATCCGTATAAAAGAACACCTAGATGGCAAACGAAAACTAAGACGAAGCGCCCCACTAGGCACGCATAGGATACAAAAGCATAGCGGAGACGATTTTGAAGTAAAAGTTAATATCCTTGCACAGGAGTCCAAAACACCAGCGCGAAAACTCCTTGAGGAAGTTGTTGATCATGCAATTACCAAAGAGTTTTTCGTCTTTTTGTAAGTGGTATTGAAGCGTTTGGCCTAGTAGATTGTATATCAGCATACCCTTCCAGGCTCTGAAGAAGTCGATACTGCCGAAACGTCAGCTAGCGTTGTATTGTATTGTGTTTTTTATGGAAGTAAATGTATGCTGTTTGAAAACCTCGCGATTGCTGAACAAGAAAACGACACATTCGAATCACAGTGTTTAACCTTTACTACCGCCCCTCATTTTTTTCACGGCAGGGCATTATGTGAAAAACCACTATGATGCTGAGATACCGAGTCCTGCTCACATCTTAGCATCATTGTGCTAGTATTTCAAATGATACATTGAGGTGGCAAAAAAATATTAGGCAGTAGATAAATATTAAACACTGTGGGTCGAAACATGTGCCGAAATTTTTGATGCGATTCACGGATTTCGTGCTAGTGCTTCTTTGCCATTATTCCGCCAGCAATTAGGAAACTCTGCTGACTAACTTGCAGACCACTAGGCAATTTAGGTTGACTTTGTCACGACTCAATTTAACGTTAATGAAGGGGTTAGGACCTTGACCTCTGTCCACGCATTGCATTGAACGTCTTAATTTGTCATAATATGGAAGTAATGTCGACATTTTTTACCCAATTCGTAAGGTGATCCACAAATGGGGTTTTTTTTGTTTTGTAAAAGAAGCGCAGAACAGAATTTCATGAAGACGACCTCCTTGCTCTTCGTTTCATTCGTGATGACTTATTTCTGGGGTTTTAATCTTTATATTGTTTCCAAGTGAGAATGGCTAACGTTGAATTCCTATGCATTCTATGTTGCAGATTCTAGATGGTCTTTTTCGGCTACGGCCTTCAAATGCTCGTTATCAACAACTCATCGACATCCACAATCTTCGCCGTCATCAGCACTGGAGCCTCCAGTATGACATGTGTGTTCAAGAAAAATTCCACTGGTTGGTGATAACCTGACATTTGAGGTACTTCCAGAGCGTATGTCGAATTTTTAAGTAGCTGAGGTAAAAAAAACGAATTTATTGTTTTCAACGCATCATTCCAGCCATCTTAGAGCCTTTGTAAATTAGGTGCAGTAAAAGGCATAACAAATGGCCCTTTTTTCTACCTTTATTTACGTGATTGAACACCAAATATTGTGCAAGCCTCGCATTTGTCGTTTGAGTCGCATTAGTCGCATTTACACATTGGTCTTCGGGAAGATCTTCGGAGTCGGGTGTAAATTCGGCTGCTGCTTAAGGTTTCTGTCAGTTTCGTGAATAATGTTGAGAGTTAGTCGAGTATATTCTCTTTGAAATTATTAGACAGCCGTTCCGGAGCCTTCAGATCTCTACAGTAATTATTCGCCAGCCTCTATAGACTGTACAGTATCCTCCCCTTACGAATCGAGTACCGGTTTTTCTATCATGAGAGATAGAAGGGTTTCTTGGTTCGAAACGAAGTTGGAGCGGTTGCATCACCCGTATTACTGAGCGACGGCTTTAGGCAATACGCTTCCCGCTCCCTGATGATTAGTTAGGCGACAAGTAAACTAAATGTTTTCCTTATCAAATATTGAAGTTGTGAATTCATCAGAGTGAACGCGGTCATTTCTAAGCAGTCATGGTGAACAAACAATTCATTGAAAGACAATGTGTCGTCTCCAACTACGCTCACGTTATCAGTACGGCTGCATATTTCTGCAGGTCTTGTGACTGATAGCCACTTTCTCGCGCTATAGTTTAGTAATCGCAAGACAGTTGATAAGAAGACAAACTCTTGCATCTTGGCACGTTTTCAACTGAAACATCTCTATCCTCTGTGTCATTAGCTATTTTTACCACGTATAACATAGGGAGAGGAAGGTAGCACAGTGATAGTGATGCCGGTCAATGCGACCATGGTGCTGGTCGAACCCCGCCCCAGGCTCACTAGGCCTCTCATACCACCGTGTTCGAGACATAAATGGTACCCGGTTTGGGGAGTAGTACAAATATTCCGTCTGAGCAAGGCAGACGAACGGATCTTCGATGGAGGACGGTATAGGGAATTTTGGTGATGGGATGATTAGTAGGACAAAACGTTCGAAGTCGACCAATCCCTTAAAGATGCGCCATGCATTCGATTTCATCCATCATCGTAGAAACGATTTTATGCATATCTGGCTTATATGATGACTTTTGTGTTCTACCGATGTATCAAATAAGTGCCGCTATCTTCCCAGACAAGTCTTGTATCAATTTACTGACTGCGGAGGGATGGAAGGTTTGGTGAACCTGGGTGGTGGTCGAACCCATGTGTATTGCAGTGCGCCTCTAACCATCTCCATGCGCCTACCGGCGACATTATTAGATCTACATATGCGCTTAAATGTGAATTAATTTGAATGGACGATGGCATTAAATACATGGTGGGAGATTAAACATGTGAAGAAGTTATAAGTAAAAGCGCCCCTCCATAAGTGTACTCTCTACTATTCGATGCTGCTTGCAGGTTATCCCACACAATCGATTGCCCTATTTTATTCATATGTCACTCAAACTATGACGGCAACGTTAGTTTTACTGTTCTTTACCTGTCTGTGCATGCATCTTCACGTATTATTTTATCTACTTACTTCGCATGACCCTTCAACAAATCTACTGTGGACCTCAGCACTTCTTACATTCGTTTTCCTCGCATTCATCGTCCACAAAGGTCTTCGTGTTGTTTCGGCTGCTGCATGATGCACGGCTGCTCTTTATGGGTGTCGTAGAACGCTGGTCGAATCAATTCTCCTTACAGATAAGGTAATGCTGAGATATTGGCAAAACTCCGGACCGCAGGTGTCTGCGGTGGGGAACGAACGCGCTATTATCCTTTCCGAGGAGTAACGCGCTCACCACCACACCATGCGGGTCCTTCGTTTCCATTTGGGCTCCCTAGATTAGTTCCGCTGACGGGTGATTGCTGATGGCGCCGATCAATAAAACTAGCTGAGAAACAGGCGAAACGAAGGATCCGCATGGTGTGGTGGTGAGCGCGTTACTCCTCGGAAAGGATAATAGCGCGTTCGTTCCACACCGCAGACACCTGCGGTCCGGAGTTTTGCCAATATCTCAGCATTATCTTAGTTGTATTTCAAATCATACCCTGCCGTTAAAAATTATAGTAGGCAGTAAATAAAAAAGGTTAAAATTGTGACTTCTCCTTACAGTCCTAGACATAGCCGGGGCTGAAGCTTTCTTACGCGGATTGTAGAGGAAAGTGTTGGGGCGAAGCTTGAACTAGTGCTTTGCTTCCTTATCGACCGTATCACTAACCACTGTCTTTCCGTGCCTCTTTTGCATGTTTTAGATATACATATTTGTTCCTATAGTCATGTGCTTGTCAATGCTGTGCCAAATTCACAAATATTCACGAGCATCTATTAGGGAAGGACACGATCGCGTATTACGACCTGAAACCGTAATATTAGTCATTTCAGTTAAATCTATGCTTTTGATAACATGTATTCGGCCCTCTAAGTGACTTACTACTTCCTCATCGTTGAACTGAATCCTTTTTGGTGTCGAATAGCGGTGTGCAATCACATAGCTCATGGTACCGACACGATCTTTTGAGCTCAGGAGTTGACATTTCCATTCGAACGCCCACCTATGAGTAAATTCGTTCCCAGAGGTCGCTGTTGTACTGAAGGGAACTATGTTACAAGGTGGATAGCCCATCTGCAATCCTTACGGGTTGGACCGACAACTCTCTGCGATAACGACCTAGGTCAAGTTAACAGGATGGAAAGAACATGTCCAACTAGTAAAATGCTACCAGTCAGACGTAGATTGTACTGATACCAACACGATTTTTTTTCTCGCAAATGATCCATGTAAATATTCGGGTCTTAGGGATGCTTCCAATCGTAATGGCTATTTCGTAGAGGCAATTCGTCAACAAACAATCGATAATTTTTGATATTGATCAGTATGATGGGTTACATTATACAACTTTAGCAACTTTAAGAACATTCACATCGATACGTCTTTGGTAGATCATCCGATCCAATAAAGCTACTTTTAGGCGTGAATGAATTTTTAACATCTTTACATCCAGTTACCGTATTCTTAATGTGACCGTGTAGCGCGGAATCATCGTCATACATTTGCTGCGGAGTAGCATTCATTTTCTGTCATTCGCTTAACGACTTAGAATCTTTACGTTCTTAGTATTTGATCAAGAGGAAACTGAAATCCCTTGTGTACCTGTGACTGTGAGCTTTTTGTTTCTTTCATTGTAAAAACCTCGTTTCATATCTTCAGTTTATTGCTGAAGCTTCTTCTCAATGAATTTAACGCCACTATTGTCGCTGCTTCTTCTTGTACTTGTGTTTCGAATCGTTAAAGATTGATAGTTTAGTGATGTTAAGTGCATTCCGCAAGACAATAAGAATGGAGATTCCACTGTTTCTCTATATGCTGACCAGCTACCTTAAGTATCCAGTGTTTCAAAATCTGATGTATGAGAAATCCTGCCTTGTTCGATACAGTGAGGTGAGAATTTTTTCGTTTTGGACTTTCGGAATAATGTCAACGAGTTTCAGGAAACCGCATATGCTAGTAATTTGCTCCTAAAGTAAACTCAATCATTTATAGATAGTTGCTCTAGAAATGTGTAGCAAGATTTCCTTGAGTACGGTAATAGTACCCGTCCTCTTCCTGTTTTCAGAGACATTCCTGGACTTTAATTTCTGTAGAACGTTATAATATAATATATGGTGTATAACTAATATTAGTTTGACGGTGTTGAATAATGATTCTTTGAATGATTTGCTGCTTCCTGGTGGCAGAATGAACGTGTGTGTGATAAACTTTTGTGAACAACTAGACTTCATTACCTGACCCTCAGCGCCTGTCACAGAAAGTGTGGAAATTTTCCTCACCTCTAGTCTTAATCCCAGCTTAAGCCTAGGAATAAGGCCGCAAGCCTCCACTTGATACACAATGGTTAGTAAAGGCTTCTCGAGATGCTACTTGAAAGGGAGGAATAAAAAGAACACAACAAATCTCAGTAAAGCACAAAAGAGCGACCACGTTCCAAATATATGGGTAATAACTGAGTTCAATGCCAGTTTGTGCTCTCCAGATCAATACCGTTGATGGGTGATTGCTGATAGCACCTATAGGTTAAAACACTGCTGAGAGAAAGACGAAACGAGGGCCTCGCATGGTGTGGTGATGAACGCATTAGTTCCAGGAAAGGGTAATAGCGGGTTCGATCTCCGCCGTAGACACCTGCGGTCCGGAGCTTTGCAAATATCTCAGCGTCACTGTAGTTATGTCTTAGTAATAATCCTAATTATCATATGAATATCACTGGAATAATGTCCGATTTCATTTTGCATACGGTTCGCAGCTGTTGCAAGTGATATAAGAAAAATTTACAAAACTTTAGTGCCCTGCCTATTTTCGTTAATTCTGTGATCTGTTTACTTTTTATTTTCTGCCTATAACTTTACGGCAGAGTATTAAGCGAAATGCAACCACAATATTGCTGAGATGTTTGCAAAACTCCGGACCGCAGGTGTTTGCGGTGGGGAATGAACGCGTTATTGTCCTTTCCGGGGAGTAACGCGTTCACCACCACACTATGCGGGTCCTTCGTTTCGCCTGTTTCTCAGCTAATTCTATCGATCAGCGTCATCAGCAATCGCCCGTCAGCGGGATTGATCTGTGTTGGATTCTGTCGGTCCTCATCATTGAACTTTTTTGTCATTTAGGATATAAGTAAATGTTCAAATGTAACGGCGTACTACAATGATAAATCTATACAAGCCGATGCGAATCATTTTTATTTCCTATCATCTGTTGTACTAACTCTGCCGTCTTTCTTTTCAACGTTACTATTGGGAGCAGGTGAGCTATGAGTTTGTCTCATACTATATGTTCATTTGGAACATTTCTGCATGTAGATATTTTCGGTCAGTATCGAAAATCAGAAAATTCAACATGTATTCCTTCTTTGATAGGCTTACACGACGTTGATAAATACTTTATTCGGCTAACGTTTCAATGTCTTCGTTTTCATCAGAGTCGATGATCCGAGTCAATGGTTCACAGACTGTGTTCACATTGAGAAGATGAAGAGCTATGGACCATCGACTCGGACCATCGGATCTGACGAAGACGTCGAAACGTTGTATAGATAAAGATTATTTATCAACCTCGTGTAAGTTTATCAGAAAATTCATTTAAGCCACGGATTTATGGAGTGTCAAGGTTCCACTGCTGATACCATTCTTCGGATTGATTTTGTGCACATCGAACTATGTAATGCAGACTGTTTATATGGACGCCTCCATTTACTTGCTGCTAATTAGCGATGCTATTTTCGGAATATGCGGCGGTTATATCGCCATATTAGGTAATACTTTAATTTTTAAATGATATTTTACTCTCTCATCCCAACGGTTTATGCCTCATCGTGGTTGGGTGTACCTGGATGTTGGGCTGCGATTCCCATCAGGAAGCCTAGCTAAGAGTAAACACTCGGTGGCAAATCTCCCTCCGATTCACAAGGGCGGTGTCTGGCTGTGGTGGTACCGACCTAGAGCAGAGTTTGGCCAGGCTGTCCTCCGGACTCCAGGTAACCGTAATAGATAAACCAGCAAATCTCCTGAAATTTTTTCTGGGGCTCTCACAGCCAATGAAGACGCACCATGTTTCCAAGTATTTTACTCTGGATGGATGGAATTAAATAACCTGAATCCAGTTACAAACGGCACCGCAAATATTGTCAATGTTATGCTGTGAAGAATTAGTTTACTATTCAGCAACAGTCATTAGTTATGGCGTGAAAACGACATCGGTTCCTAGACGAAGTGTTCGAATTGCTGGCGTAGAAGGTGCTATAGGTCTAGGTGGCACAGCTGGATACATTCTCTCGGGTACCACTAGAGAGTAAGCTGCTGATTTTAGTATCACACGTAAACAAAGTGCCGATTGTAAGTGTACTTTTTTTAAAAAATGTTCTAACAGGTCCCCGAATGGAGCGGTGGTGAATGCATTAGCCTCCTGAAAAGGGCGATAACATGTTCGATCCTCACCGCAGACACCTGCGGTCCGGAGTTTTCAAAAATCTCGACATCATTGTGGTTATGTTCTAACAGGATCTAAATTTCCAGGATCCTAGGCTACCCATATGTGTTTCTATTAATGCTTATATTGCAAGTGGTTGCTTTTTTCTACATTCTGATATTTGCCAAGGAATGTAAACGAACGGGAATTGATCGTCAAGACAACGGCAATGGTTAGAGAATAGTTACCGTTCTTTCGAAGTGGTATTTCTAGTGAGACTTTCTAGAAGTATTGATTCTAGAACGCACCTCGAAGTTATTTTGGAAGTGTGTTGAGGCGCTTTCCAACTACCGACAACTTCTTACCATCAGCCGACGCTTTCAATTTATACTTGGGTTAAATCTGTTGGCATTTGGAGTCGAGCTGTTCATATTTTCTGGTCCAGTTTCTCTGCAACTTCTGGACTTATGAAAATGAACTGATAACATACAGCTTCAGGTCTAATGGATATTCAATATTCCTATCTCCAGTTCAAGTTGGGCTGGGGAGACCAGCAATACGGATGGTTTAGTGGACTGCAGTTTGCAGTAACAACAATAACTGTTAGTGATTAGTGATTCACTCTTATTCTGAGTACTGTGTATTTTGCCAACTGGCAAACTCTGGCAATCATCGTGAACATTTTACAGATATCAGTTCTATACCCACTTCTGTACCTTCGAGGTTTTACAGATGGTACACTTGGATGCTTTGGTTTGCTCGCAAAAATGTTATCGCTTGTCTTACTCGCTTTCCTTACGAACTCAGCAATGGCCTACTCATTAATAGGTAATCAATTATAAGTAGTTAGTAATTAATTTAAGTAACAAGCAGTATTTCTGTGCCTCCTGTATCACAATCATTTTAAGATATGTTTACTATCATTTAGTTGTCACGTGTTTAAACCGCTTTATCCCTACTGGATTCAGATCGTTCATCTCAAGCATTATTGAGACAACTGAGCAAGGTGAAAATTATTGTGGCTACATGCAGACTTCTAAACTCACAAACTTTGATTTCAGGGAAAATGTTTTCCCTAATCGCCTTGCTGGAAGGTGCAATTGGGCTTCTGGCCTCTGCGTTCTTCAATACCTTGTACCCTAAGACGTTATCATTCTTCCCTGGGTTATTTTACATAGCAAGCTGCCTAGTTCTTGTCGTTCCACTTCTGATTCTCGGGTAAGTCATAGCACCTCCAGATTCTAGCTGAGTTATTTTGACGTGCTACACTGTTGCAGGATTTCCGACAGAGTGGTGAAATCGGAAACAGAGCGATTAGTAGATGAAAGAACAAGCACAGAAAGAGAAGTATCCCCATGATAAATCTACATCTCCGATTATGATTAGCCAAGAGTTATCTTAACACTTTCTTAGTTTATGAAATATAAAATCTATGTTCTATTAAGAACGTGCTTTATTGTCTTTTTAGAACAGACATGGATTAACGTTGTCTAAATCTTGATGTCAATTGTACATACCCATGAACGTGTGAAATTATGGAAATCTTCGCTTATGCGAAAGTGGATGAACACGTTTGCAAAAGATGAATGGACTCTATAAAAATATGATAAAGTGGACAATGATATCTGAAAAGTTTCTACCACAACCACTGGCCAGGGGCTTGTTGCTGCTCAGATTGCTGTTGTTGCTGACTTTGCGGTTGCATTTGCCCGTAAGAAGGTAAGCTCATTGGTCGATTTAGATCAGTTGGCGTACTCATTCCAAATGGGTCAGAATGATTGTGAGGAGACCTTAAATTAAGCAATTAAACAATACAGTGCTGGGTCATTTGGTTTAACAATTTCCTATTCACCACCTGAAATCAAGAACTCAGACATGTTTGCATGGTACCCACAGACCAGTGGAGAAATATGAAAAGTAACAAGGATAAGCAATGAAGAAAAAATGGAAACCTCGGTACGGGAACTGGAGTCACTAGAGATGGAGTGTCGTTCATAGCTATCCTACTCTTCTCAATCAGCGGGGAATCAACTCTTCCCAAGTGGACATTCATTAGTGACATTGATCCAGGTGACATCGGTCCGGCCAATGACGGCGGTGCAGGATTGGTAACGGAGAATGCACGGGGAAGTGGTGAGAAACCGGAAATAGCATTAGATGCTCCTTGACCTACGACTGAAGACGGCAGTTGTTGGGCGTGCTGAGGAGAGTACCGCTGTTCAGTCTAGAAGAATCCCTATATTTATATGTAAGCCGACAACGGAATGTGGGAAATATAGAAAATACCTGGAACGACTGTGATTCTGCCCACTGTGACACCGATTCACTGGGAGGAATTGGCCGGAACATAGCTTCAGGCGGTCCTGTCCTTTCCTGCAGCTATAAAAAGCACTTTTTTTCAGCCCATCATGTTTCATTCTAGTGACATTGCCTGAGAATAACTCAGGATGCTCACATTTTTAACAAATAACATACTTGAGCGGCAAGAGCAGCAAGTTGTTTAGCACGCCTGTAGCGCCGCCTCTGAGACTTATTTGCCGCTGTCCCATTATGGTGCTTAAGAATGTGCTCCTGAAACCAAAGCGTTAAAGTTTTTCACTGGATCCCTCGTACCAGAGTAAAAATGCAGTGTTGTTTTCTTTTTAATGAAAATTCACGACGTACAACCAATCGTAACCTTACACTAGCTACGGCTAGTCATTATGTTTAGCTTTTTACGATAAGTAGACAAATTATTAGAGGAATAACTGCAAGGGAGTTACTCCTATAAGGTGGTTCTTTAAAAACCTTCAGCTTATCGCGGCGACTGGAAGCATAATCACAAGCATCACACTTGAACGGCTTGTCTTCTAGATGAATTCGCTCGTGCCGAACTAAGTGAGACTTCTCGATAAAACCTCTACCACAAATCTAAAATGACATCTTAATTAATTAGTAGTAGCCAAAATATGTTATTGCCAAAGAGAACAAACCTTGCAAATGTGCGCCCGTACAGCCATGTGTGTTCTCAGATGTGCTGCTAACTGACTCTTCTTAGGTGAAGAGTAATCACAATTATCTACAAATTGGAAATGGAAAAGGTTCAAACAGAAGCCATTCCAAAACATGCATTACTTAAATCACAGAGTATCACGATTGTGCATTCAACAACTTTTGAGTAAGTTTTGAAAATTACTTACCTATATGACAATAGAACATATCGCCTGTATGTTGTCTGCGATGTGTTGTCATATGGTCCGTATTAGATGTCGCAAACCCACAATCTTCACATATCAAAGACCTGCAAAACACAAGAAAAACATAGATAGTCTCAGTTTTTCGAACATACTTTATTGATGACGATAAAGTTCGAAGTAGAGACAAATAGGCAGAGGAAATACAGCCTAACCTCGGCTCATCATGTGACGCGAAATGTACTTCCAAAGCCGTATGGGTAGTAAAACCTCGCCCGCATTCCTCACAATGAAGAGGTCTTTCATCCAAACTGCTATGCAATCGTTCGTGTGCCCATAGTTGAGTCCGTGATCTTGCCCGAAAGCCACATTCGAGGCATTTGAAGAAGCGTTCAATTGCTAAAAACGGAATCCCTATTTTGTTAATTTGGGTCAAGTACTACATCATATCTTGATAGAACTTACTGTGAGATAAACGGTGGGCTAAGAGCTCTTGTATTGACTCCTTCACTACCAATGGACACTGATCACATGCATAAGGAGCTTGAGGCTATAAAGAATTACTCGAATGTGAAAAAGGAAGCATGAAAAGCTCTGTACCCAGTGCTCTCGGCAATGTTCGTAGAATGATTTACTCCAAACGGCCTCATAATCACACAGCTGACACATATATAAGGTATTGCGGTTATGTTGCCGAGCTCGATGTTTCTCAAGTTCCTGAAAGCTAGGATTTGAAGGATAATAAGAAATGATTTTTCGAACAGAATCATAAAATTAAACGCTAATGTAATAAACGCATAAAGAAATCCCGAACCTCAGCTGAACTGGTGAGGAATTTGCAAAACTTGCAAGCATGTGCTCCACCGTCAACATGCACATCCTCTCCGTCTTCTACTTCATCAGGATCAATGAGATCTTCGTGTGTGTAGGTGACAGCACCAGCAAGCGATGATGTCGCATAGACTCCATCTACTTCGTCATCGTCCAACATCGGTAGAACTTAAAACATAGATTTTCAATCAGACGCACCGTATACGTATATACTAGTACACACGATGCAACAAAAAACCGACTTTCGTTGTCGATTGTTCTCTTAGGTGGTCGACCTCTCCTTTTCACAACAGCATTGATCGATTTCCGAAAACCTTTATTCTTGCCTAACCTAAATTAGATAAAAGTATGAAAAAGGCCACATTCATACACCTTGAGGATTGCTCGAAAACAAAAACCGACGAAAAAAAACCTCTTTCTGCTAATATCTGCTAAAGGGACAGATCCTAGGTTGATCTTTAAACGCAGACGTGGTTTCTCGACCCCTTCCTCGGTATATGAAGTATTAAGCTGAAAAAATGATATATGTACGAGCCATACCTTGCTGTGAGCACACAAGAACACATATGACTTACAACAGTACTAGTTGTCGGATGACCTTCGACTGGCGGTTCATCTTCCTCCTCGTCTTCCACATGTTCGAAACTTAAAGACTTATTTCACAAACAAGTACACTTACAATGCTAATAAGACCACCTACGACAAATATCTATGACACGCAGCAATAATGCGCAGAGTTAAACACTATTGACACATCAAACATCTATAAAACACGGTTGAAAGAAAAACGGAACGAAGGACCCGCATGGTGTGGTGGTGAACGCGTTAGCCCCAGAAAGGGTAGTGGCGTGTTCGATCTCCATCGCAGACACTTGGGGCACGGAATTTCGTGAATGTCTGAGCATCACTGTGGTTAATGTGCAGATTTGTTCAGCATGACAGCGTTGCTCACAATTTTCAGTGAGTATGAAAACATGTCACGCATGTAGAGTTATGAAAAGTAGATGATTTATGAAACTGTAAAGGTGACGTGAACACAAAGTTTACTTGTCTTGATTTATCATAACAAAGTTAATGAATGCACAAAATGCAAGCAAACCTAGAATCATTTTCATAATCCTCTTCGGTTCCAGCTGTTAGATTCGCACTGGGTCCAAGAAGAGCTGCTGCATCGCCTCCTAACTGTTGCGTCAACGTACGAAACTGCTGCTCATATTTTGGCATAGGAATGGCACTGGCATGCCTAACGGTGTAAAAATGTGCCATAAATTTTGTATTTATATCTTTTGAAAAAGGATGTTAATAAAGAAAATGATGCCTAAAAGCACGTAGTGAAAGCTTTCCTGTGCTAAACTCACATTGCAGCAAGCAATGCATGTCTACAGCTATGGGATTTTGTGAGAAGTGGTGAATAGTCAAGAACGAATTCAAGTGCGTTATCGGATACGTCGGCTATATGACACCGTTCAAGAAGCGGTCGAAAGGAGGATTCTCTAGCTTGAACATCTTCTCCAACCCAGCGAATGATAAGCCTGAAAAACACTGTCTGTGATAGCTATGAAACCACGGGAGCATGTGGTAGCGTGGTCGAGGTGCCCTGCTGTACAGATGGGGTCGATCCTCGCGCCTCTGGCCTACCAAGCCCTTCAATCCTCCGCGGTCGGCGAATCCGTACCAGATTTGTCTGGAGGATAGCAGCACTGGCTCGATACATCGGTAGGCTACCATGAACCATTGTAAAAACCAGATATGCACCCAATCACTTCCAACGACAACTAATGAAATCGAATACACGGCGTATCCGTCCAGTATTGATCAACGCCGAAAGCTTCATCTTTTTTTTAATTTTAAAAAAATCAATATTTTCTGGCAAACCAACTTCAAATAGACATCAGGACTAATCACATCCTGATATTTAGGATCTTCCAGTATCTTTAAGAGTTGTTGCATTGGATATCTCAATATATCGACAGACTCAAGTAAACACCGATTAATATTGACATCGAAATATTCTGATGCGGCCTGAAAATGAATGTTGAAAGTGGATTTAACAATAACTGCAAGTATTTTTAAAGGTAGAAATGAACTACACTACAGCTTATGGTTATTATAAGCTAACTTTTAGCAATGAAGGAAGATTGTATTTCGTAGCCAGCTGACGAACTGACAGAGAATTAGCTGCATCTAAGTATCTATCAAGATACTCAGCACAATAATTCTTCAGTTTAGTTACCTGGAAATTTCAAAAAGTAACTACGATGATTCTGCAATATTTGCAAAACTCCGGACCGCAGGTGTCTACGGTTCTACACAGTGACGTACCACGAAATAAAAAGTGACCAAATTTAGAAAAGTATTGATCGAGTCCGCTAATTAGCGCGGTCATAAATGTACGTACTGACTGACGTACCAAGAAATTGTTCGCCAACCGCAAGAGCTCTGCAACAGTAGTTCGATCAATAACGACACATCCACTATACATATAGTTCAGCAATAATTCAAACGCTTTCGGATGTTGGCAGTTGACGACAACCTAGGAGAAAACGTTAGCAATATGGTGAGTGGAAAGTGTTCATGACCAAAGAGACATTCAGAAGAAATACCTGCTCTTTTGTCACCTTTGTGGACTTAAGGATTGAGTCAAAATACGGACTACATGAGGCTAAGATATTCCTATGAGCGGAAAACTGTCTGTCCTTCACAACTATGCACACGTCACAGAATCGTCCAGTTTCTCGTTGATATCTCATACGTTCGAGAACTGAATTAGAGATCTCATTTGATTTGTTTAACGTATCTAAAAACCTTAATTTTAAAACTGACCCTTATTTACTCTTATTGGTAGTGATCAATACCTTTCTTGGATTGTTACGGTAACACAAGGTTGATAAATAGGCTTATTTGGCCAACGTTTCGAAGTCCTCGTCTTCATCAAAGCCGATGACACATAGTTGTCCACAGAGATTCGTCGGCTCTCATGAAGACGAAAACACTGAAACGTTAGCCAAATAAATCTATTTGTCCACCTCGTGTTAGATTAATCTAAGATGGTACCTAGGAAGTTTCTACCAACATAGCTTGACCAGAGACAAAAGTCTATTGTGAACTGGAAGGAAATGAAAAGAAAGAGAACAACACTCGTGAAGACTCAAACACTTATTTGATGTTGGCAGAACTATGTATTCTTTAATTGATAAGTTAGCAGGAGGCTGACAAGTGATCTCTCTTTTCGGCTAACGTTTCAACGTCTTCGTCTTCAAGCTTATCAAAATAAGAATACATATTTAGTCATGCCGAGGATAGAAGGAAAGTCAGTTCTAAAATGTCAACAAAATGTCGAAAAAATCCAGAAGCTAAAGAAAAGCAAAAAAAGCAACTTCGTATTTCCTTACCGACACTTCCATGCTGATCAGTGAACGACATCGGATTCAGACCAGTACCCTCACAGCTAGCTGCTAGAGCCGCCATCTTCTTCACCTTCTCTCACCCACCCTTGATATCCGTCGCTTGAATCGGAATTTTTGGACTAAAAACAACACACCAGCACAATTCCGAGTTTCCACAGATGTCATGTAAAAATCGATAAAGTACAGGAATAAAGTCCTCACGTCCAATATGAAGATAGACAACGATGTGCAAGCCCGTTGAATATAATGCGCTCAGATGGACGTAACTGCGTACGAACCCCCGACATTCTTTTCGGCGACGGCAAAGTCTACGTCTCGTGCGCGATCCATACCCTCCAATATAAAGACGAGACGAGAGAACCGCATGACTTGGTGGTGAACGCGTTAGTTACGTGTAAGGATAATAACGTGTTCGATCTCCATCGCAAACACCTACGATCCGGAGCTTTGCAAATATCTCAGCATTATTGTGGTGATAGCCCAGTAGAGCCTTCCAATGAAACTGTTTTCACATTATCATGATCATCAGAATCAACAAAGAACATCACTCAGCGAATGAACGTGAGGAGCCTGAGGACGACGAAAAAGCGGCAAAAAAACTTTCGAATGCTTTATATCAAGTAATTTCCAGCACAATTACAACAATCAGAGTAAAATGTAAGCGACGGAGCACACACTCATCTTAGAAGGTAGTAGAACATCGACAACACGTATATTGGGTCTTGGGAAAACTATGGAATTTACGAAGATAGTAGAATTAATCACACGATAGTCACTTGAATGACTTTTCGAACCATCTGATGATGTTGACTGATGCATCAATCTCTGCTTCCACCTCATCAATGCGATGAGACGACGACGGATAGGTGAGCACCCTGCAACCAATTCTTTTCATTAGTTTGTTTACAAAACATAGAAAATTTAGATGTATTATTTATGCTGCTCACCACCACCACCATAAGCGCGTGTAGTGCAGTGGTTAGAGACGCCCTGCAATACACATGGGTTCGATGCCGCGCCCCGGAGTCACCAAGCCCTCAATTCATCCAGGGTCAGCAAACTGATGCCATACTTCTCTGAGAGGGGATAGCAGCATGGGCTCGATATATCGGTAGGCTAACGCAAGTGATTGGTCAGATATGCATTCAATCAGGTCTAATGTTGCTTAATGAAATTGAATGCATGACACATCCCTTAGGGATTGTTCAACGCTAAGAGCTTCATCCTTTAGCTTTTCCATCACCATAGTTTTTATTCGTAAAGGTTCTTCATATCGCGTTGTGAAGGGCCAACAAGACAAGAAGGCAGGCATATTGAAAAACAGCCGAAGTATTCTAAAATCTGGAAACCATTATTTACACATAACACCTGCTACTGTATTTCGTGGTTGGTCTAACCGAATACGAGCAATTTTTCGTCGCCTGCAGACTATCGCGGTTTTCGACTATAAAAATCTCAATAAATAGAGGATCTGAGAAGTTTCGAACATGATGGGGTTGTAGAGGAGACTTTGCTCTATCTTCGTCTTCTTGTTGAGCAAACGCGAGGTGTCATTTTTATTCTTTATTCACGAGTAAGCTGATGTTTCGGCGGATTTCGCCTTCCTCAGAGCCTGGAAAGGTCAAGTTGACAGCAATCTATTCGGCCAAACACCTCCATAACCAAACAAAGAAAACGCCAAACCAAGATTTCAATCACATTAAACGCAGCTTTGCACACTCACCGCTTTCTATGAGGCTTCCACTGAGTATGTCGCGTGAAGACCAACCGCACAGAATTCACATGAAATCAATGCCTTACTTGATCAATGCCAAGGTTAATAGAAAGTTGGTCGTGGGATTTACTTTGCTCTATCGTTTTATGAGTATCAACGATAGGTATGTTACTATTTACTGTGTGTTACGATGGTCCACATACATTGCTGTCAGCATTTGGCAGTTTTTGTAATTCATGCTGATTCTATTTCGGTATTTTTACATCCACGTATTCTATGCAATAATTACGGGTCAATGAACATTTTGGAAAGGTTTTCTGTAAATAGTTGATTGTAGAGAATGGCTTTAGAGGACTCATCGCTTCTACTTCGATCTGCTTTCGATTAGCTATCGAATAAGTGTACATAATACGGCGGGAGAAAAGCTCTGGAACCCACTAAACTCACGGACACTATAGTGTCCACACGGTCGTTTGGTGCAGACCTCTAGGGACACTACAGAGTCCATACGGGGCGTTATGGCTTAACTGTAGTTCTCACTGCTTTGACTATGTTTTAGAAGAAAGATTCACGAGACGATACACTACTGAGCTGGACGCACTAAGGCATCCGCTATGTTTTAAAATATGTATGTAAAAGCGATAAACGAAGACTTTAACTCTAAGAGTGATTCGATTTGCATATGTACGTAGTCGGAAGCGGTGCGCCTCACAACACTAAACAAAGATGACTGAGCTTACACTGTCTCTCGAAACAAAAGTGAATACAAACTAATAGTCTTTGCTAAACAGAAGTTTCTTCTATTTTACCGCTAAGAAACCACGATTTCATGGATCCCAAAAAACCGCTTTTTTCATTTACACTGGCGTTTCAAACAGTGAAGCAATTTGACAAAGGGGATTCCGTCCAGCAGGACACCTACCATGTCCTCCAAGGTGCCAGTGAGCTTTGCCACTAGAGATTGCGCTAAATATTTTTAAAATGCAAGCTTTGTCCTGATTTCTTCTTTTAAATTACGGACAACTTTACGAATAACACTTTTGAAAAATCATGTGTACGCATGTCACCCTACTCAAGGTAACCGAAGAGATCCCTGTTGATGACTATTATCCTCTTGCGCATATCGAAGATCCTAGATGAGGCACAATGTGCAAGCAGGATTAAGACAGGGATTCTAATGCATAGACCACATCCGAACCGTATCATGCCTCATGGAAGTCTTCCGGGAGCACCGCCTGCCCCATGTCTTAACCTTTATCGATTATGAGAAAGCGTTCGACAGCGTCGTAACGAATGCAATCCTATCAGCGCTTGTCAACCAATTAGTGAACTCATCCTATATACGAACACTAGCAGATTATTATTGGAACTGCAGCACCAATACACAGCTTTTTCACTGACTGCTCACCCTAACCAAAGGAAAAGGGGTTCGACAAGGCGACGCAATGTCGCCAATGCTGTTTAGTGCAGAGCTCCACAATGAAGCCACTCGATTGCGACGGGAAAGGAATATGTATTGATGGATAATTCCTATCAAATCTTCGTTTTCCGGAATGACGTCATCTTTTGATGCAGTACCACAGAGGCAGAGACGATGGTCAATGAGCTAAACGAAGTGGAAAAAGAATACTGGACTGCGCATAAGTAGGATTAAGACTCAGTTCATGAAGAAGCCATGTTGCGAAGGTGAACAAATCGAACTGGATGTTTCTCTGATTACAGAAAGCACCTGACACGTGCACCTTGGACGTTCAATAAACATGGAGAACAACATGATAGAGGAATTTTTCAGGAGAACAGCAGGAGCCGCATTTAGGTCACTAAAAGAAGCTACCGACCAACTAACAGACCCAAAACTTCGTGCTCAGTTTTACGATTCAACAGTCCTTCTAGCGCTCAAATATGCAGCAGAGATGTGGGTCTATATCTCAGTCACGTCAAGAATACTGCGCACTACTCACAGAGTGCTTGAACGATGTCTTCTGGAAATTAACGGGCACTCACAACTTCTAGCCGCAATACGCGGCTCCGATCTTCGAAATCCATTTCATCTTCGGGATTGAGGAGAATAGACCTTGATAGCAAAACATAGATAAGCCGATCATGTAATAAGAAAAACGAAAAATGGACGAAAGGAACAATGGAACTCCAAAAAATGGAAGCATCCTCTTGGAAAACCAACTAAACGATGGAAGGACGAGTTCTCTTCAAACTTAAAAAATAAACTCCCAAAAATCAATAAAAAAATAATAAAATAGCAAAAACCAAGATTCCTAACAACGATCTATAGTTTAAATCACGAAACCACTACATACAAAAAATAAAAAATGGTGGCTAACGTCAATCTTCTGCATGTTCAGATGGCAAAGATTTCAGGTTCATGGAATGGGCCTGGCGTACGTCACCATTTTCGAAGCAGACCACCACCATGGATGACGATTGCGCGAGAAAGATAAGAATGGAAAAATTACAGAGGCCAGCATAGCCGGTGAAGACGAGCCACCGGAGCATCCAAGGAAATAAGTAACCCCGCAAAAGTTGCAAAAAAATTTTCCGCATTTGGTGCATAAAAGTAATAATTTGGGACATATTAAAATCGGTAGTAGGTGCAGATATATGTTCAGATATACGAACGTATTCTTTCTAACCAAGCCTCCCAGCTTTCGCGGTTCGCAAATTGACACTAGATTTGTCTGGGAAAAAAAGAGCTTTCTACAATCCAAAAAGCCTGAGATTGCCAGTGCTAAAGATCTTGGAAGGATTTATTAGGACTACCTGGGAATTCTAGAAAGAACCAGCTCAAATAATGCACTCTATTGATAGCACTGAAATATGGATGCGCAGTATAAACCAAATATTACTGGTTTCCGCACAAGATGTTCGATGAATGCAATCTTTGAGTGACACACTTTTTTTGCAGTCATGTGTTAAATAGAAATATTTTCATATATGAAGTATTAATATTGACAAATCTTGAAAGCAACAGCGATAACGTCTAGGAATATAATGTATAGCGAACAAAGGAAGAAATCTTAGTACCGCGAGAGAACGACAACGACGACGACAGAGTGGTTAGTGATGTAATCCATCAGGAAGTAAGGAGGTGGTTCGACCAGACCCCCAATCTCCGTGGGCAAGGCCGTCCTAGTTCGGTTATCTTCAAGACTGCAAGGATACTCGACTCGACCAGCGTCTTACGACACTCATAAAAAACGAGATCCACCAGCAGCAGCCAAAACAACACGTAAAAGTTGGATTACTTTAGTGGATGATGTATTGGAGGAAACGCCTGAAATGTAAGTGCTGGGATTCGCATAGTAGATGTCATGGGAGGTTGTGTACATAAAAGTGGCAATAACATAATATTTACCAATACACGATTAATCATGTGTAATCGGAGTCCACTACTTAAGATGGTAAATAAACAAAATATTTCGAGCATCCACTCACTTGCAAGGTATCCCTCGAGCCAAAAGATTTCGAAGAAAACCGAGATAATGTGGAGGAACACGCAAATCCTTCTCGCCGATTAGCAATAAATATGGTGTGATTGCCTAAAGTATATACATATAGTATCACTGGAACAAAAAAAAAAGTTCTGTACAACTTCCTGTACTCGACAACTACGCAAGTGTTCAAGAAAGAGCTAACATTCAAGTTACAAAATAAACCTTTTCTACGTGAGCAATTGGTGAGCTCTTAAACATCATTTTCCGTTGCTTCTCGTCCAGTGTCTTGGTCCAGTCTCCTACGTTACCTGTCCCTTCGAATAACGTCCTTAAAAATTTTTTCCAATACATGTCAGAAAGTTTCCGTTCATAAATACGGATTCACCAAAAATGGGTCTCTTTTATCTTACTAGTGCATTAAAGCAACATCTTTCGGATCAAGAATATGAAGCAAAAAGCATCATGTCAAAGCAAACTGCTCTAAAAAGTTATTGAAAGGAAAGGTGCAATTGTGGTTAACCGCGAAGAAACCAAATCGGAGAACGAGATCTGGTGCAAGGGAAATGAATTCCAGTAGAAGAATGTTTGGTTACAGAGAAAACAATTTCTGTATGCCTAGGACATCCAACATACAAATGAAACGAACTAAAAAGGCACAACGTAATAGGATGTGCAGAAAATAAATGCTACTCAATCCTGACGAGTGATTGTGGATAGCACCTATAGATTAAAACACGGCTAAGAGAAAGATGGAATGAACGATCTTCATAATGTGGTGGTGAACATGTTAGCCCCAGGAAAGGTTTATAGTGGGTTCGATCCTCACCGCAGACGCCTGCGGTCGGCATTGTAAATATCTCAGCGTTGTTGCCGTGTAATCCTTTATACAAATTATGTCTTATGCTTATGTCCTACAATTATGGAACGACTAATGGCACAAAACATAGTTTTATAATTCTGTCTTGCATGATTTATTTTCAAGTCACTTTCTTTCCAATTTAGGCTATTAGAACAGAAGTAAAAAAGTTAAGACAAAGCACTTTTTAAGTGGATTCAGAACTAAACGCGATGTCGCAGAAACTTTCCGCAATTCCAATGTTGCATTTGGCCTTGGAACCATCAATAACTACAGAATACAACGTTGTTTTCGAAGTTTTCATGGTGGGAATGAGGGACGTGAAAACGAGATGGTCCGGGATGACCATCTATCATCAACGACAGCCATTTAAAGGCTATGTGGTGTTCCACTGCATTCGAGTTAACTCGATGTGGCTATGAAGACTCACAGATCTCAAACAATAACATCTGTTTCCCATTCAACTTTTTTATCCTCTCCCCCTTTTTAAAACTTTTTTCTCCTCTATCCCCCTCTCTCCCTCCCTCTCTGTTTACCTCTCTCTCTCTCTCCCTGAGCATTCATTCACGTCCATTCAAGCAGATAACGAATTGTTATGCATTCATCACAAAGCTTGGAATACACTCAAGTAAACAACTGTGCTCAAGTGCTGTGGGCACTCACTTAAAACTGTTGCAGATATGAGGAAAGTGATGACGGAGAAACGTTGGGGGTAACAAAACCTTTTATGCAGCTATGAAACTAATTAACGAGATGTCTTGGCAATTGAATATCAATTCTCCGAAGACTTATTTGCAGATAAAATCATAGCACTCAGAAGATTCCTGAGCTTCATAAGACTACTATTTGCCGGTCATCGGATAAACTTATACCTCGCTAGCGAGGTGACTAGATTCCAATGGTCTATTTCGAATAATCTAGTTTTCCACAAGCACAAATTTTGATTGGAAAGCGTAGATTAAAAACAGTAGTCGTTTTCCGGAAAACTTGCATAGAAACCTGTTAATCGTTTTCAGTTGACAAAAAGAAAACTCCTATACTTAGAAGGGAGACACGTTATTTAAATCCGTGACGCGTTTATTTGGACATCATGACCAAGGCCGTAACTATACATACCCTTCACAAAACTACTTCGAAAATAAAACATATACAAAATCATTGGGTACTTTGCAACCAGAACAGTACACTGAGTACGTCTTCTATGTTTAGCCAAAATGTAGATGCGTTATGCACAATGTTATACTCGGAAATGATATTCTCCCAATGTTCCAAATTTAGAACGTTCCCAACTACGTTCATAGATCACGGCTAGGAAGAAAAGAAACACAATGTAGTTCTCACGATAATGAATGGCCGCTATACTCAGAAAAAATATGTTGCGAATGTAACCATTTTTTATTTTCGCTTATTCTTTTTTCATGGCAGAGTGTGATGTGAAATGCAATGACACTGAAATATTTGAAAAATTCCGAACCGCGGGTCTGCGGCGGTGATCGAATCTCGTTATTAGTCTTTCCTAGAAATGAATGTGAACAACCGTCTTTAAACTAAAGGAGGATGACATGGTTCGATCTCCGTCGCAGACACCAGCGGTCCGGAGTATTACAAATATCTCAGCATGGTCATAATTATTTTGCAAGTATTTTGTTCATGTTTTGTAAAATGAGCACGAGTTAAGAACTAAATATGAATAACTATCTTTAAACTACCATTCTGGGATGTCAGTTATTTCGTACATAGCAAGCATGTTGATTACGGGATTGTGGGCAACGCATGATTTGTAAAATCCCTAAAATCAAATTCGTTGGTGAAGTGAGTACTTACGACATCTGTTGTTAAAAAATGAGAAAATAGATGAAGAAAAATGGAACCACCGCATGGTTAGGCGGTTCATGGATATCAATAAAAATGATAAACTCGAACGTAAAGAACTTTCTAATCGTTTGCCCCTTATGTTTCAAATATGGAATTCCCTCACTAAGTTTAGGCTTAGGATTAGGAACATCACTGACCGGATATTGTCCAATGAGGTGCGAAACTAAAAAACCACCATGAGATGCTCCGTACAGAACAACACGACGTCGATCCAACCGAGGTTCAGCATCCAGAATTTTCATTACTGCATGCTGGAACACATCATACATCGCTTAACTTTAAAATAAAAGTAGAAAAGTCGATGATCGTTAGAGTTTCCTCACTCATACTTACATGCACATCTTTGACATCCAGATCACCACATCTACCAGGAAGTGAACGAATGAATTTCTCACCGAAACCAACCTAAAATAAAGCTAATTTTGAAGGAAAAAGGAATAACTAGCAATTGCTGTTTTAACTAATGACATACGGAGCCATGGTAGTTGACCGCTAGTATAGCATATCCGGAGTTTATCAACGATGATACGGTTCGAGATGGCCAACTAAAACATAATTTTCACCAAGTGAAAAGTTTCAGAAAGATTCTAAGACATACCCGGCCACAGAGACTCCATGTGGACCACCATGTGGAACAACAACCAACGGTATTGATTCGCTTTCATTAGGTAACATAAACACCCCTTCATATGGCGTATCTCCTGCAGTCAATTACTTTTAACACCGAAATTTATCAAAGCAAGATGCGTTTTTCAGAAAAAAGAACGAGATTGAATTGGAACGAAAGGGTTTTTGAACTAGAAAGTGTCATAATGAATGTCACCTCCACGCTGGAAGCCAACGAGTTGCCATGAATAGTTGAGAAGATGCTTACGTTTCTCAATTATTGAACAGTTATCAAGACGAGTCCATACCACATGAAAATGAAGTTACTGAATTATACGGACATTACAATCACAACGATGCTGAGATATTTGCAAAACTCCGAACCACAATTGTCTGCGGTAGGAAACGAACGCGTTGTTACCCTTACTGGGGGCCAACCCGTTCACCACCACACCATGCGCGTCTTTCGGTTCACCTTTCTCTCAGTTTCTTTTCTATCTACCAGTGCTATCAGCAATCACCCATGAATTTTTAGAGGGATATTTTCGTATTACGCATTTGAAGACGAAATCTAAACCGAAAAACTTCCTCTTACCGTAATCTCCTGTCCTATGGAAGGAATCGTCCCCAAAAGTAATGCGGGAGGTCGATTGGGAGCAGATACTACAGCGAGAATTTTGTCGTCAGCAACATCAAGCACTTTCCATGAACCATGGCATTGTCCGTGATTGGTTAACTTGTCTATTTTACCATTGGAAACATCGATGGCTAAGAGTTCCTGAAGAGTTTTTTCAACGCATCCTTGATTAGAAGCACCAAATCTCCTTTAAAACCATTTTGCTTCTCCAAGCGGTTCCCAGGATCAAACGGCCATTCGAAGCCCAACATCGTTGAACGATTTGCAAAAATGATAGACCAGGAAATTGACAAGGACGTTCTACTTCTTGCACAATTGGAACTATGACGGATGGCGGAGATCCGTCGTATGGCCATGGCGCCTAGAAATCACACATATGTCCATGACATTTGTCATTATTTCCAACCTCAAAAGCCATTGACCACTTCAAGAGGGATAAATTGCATCTATTTGCATTCTTTTCTCTTTCAAATTCATGCACTGAGTTAAATATAACATCGCAATGAAAAGCCGCATACCTTAACGCATTCCACCACAGATTGGTGAGGACCATCTGCTGCTCGTTGGAAATATACCAGCGTTCTTCCATCAGGAGAGAACGATGGATACTCAACAGCAACATTTTCTGTTCCAATGAGATGGAGTTCTGCAGAACTCAAATTGTAGTAGTACAATGCACCTCTAAAGAAGCACATAACGTCGTTTTCGAAAACATATTTGGATAGAATAAAGAGCACGATAAATAAGAAATTAAAGGACAAAGCTCTCAACTTCGATCAATCCATGTTGGATGCGCGAAACATTCGACTTTATTAAGCATCTTTAAAGCTGATTGGATGAATATTTGGCCTTTACAACGATTCCCGCTGGCCTACCGATGTATCGAGCCAGTGCTGCTATCCTCCCAGACAACTCTAGCGCCAATTTACACACCTCGAAGGAACGGAAGGCTTGCTGAGCATGGGGTGCTAGGATCGACCTCATATCTATTGCAGAGCGCCTCCGACCACTGCTGCGCTACACGCGCCTCTACGAGTATGATATTAACAATAAGTACGTACGGTCTGTTGTTGCAGGCTGTTCTCCCCAATCTGAACGGCAAATCATGCAGACCAAAGAAAACAATTCCAGCATCATCTGGAGCCCATAGTGACTAAAAGTACGGTTTTTTACCTTACGATAGACGGAGGAAATTAGACAGAGAAAGGAAAACCTACAAATGAAGGAGACATTCCACTCGGAATTTGGTCGATAACAGTTACTGTTCCAGATGAAATGTCCACAATACAGAGCACTGGTTGTCTAACGTCAGGGCAAGACTCACCCCAAGATTGTCGAAGTTCGTATTTTTTTCCCTGCAATCTACTAAAATATTTCACAAATCTCCCTATAAAGATGCTGAGATATTTGCGAAACTCCGGACCGCAGCTGTCTGCTGTGAAGATCGAACACGCTATTACCCTTTCTAATGACTAACGCGTTCACAACCACACCATGCGGTCCCTTCGTTTCGCGTGTCTCTCAGGTAGTTTCCTATCTCCCTAGATTTCGTTTGCATTGACGTTGAATAAAGAAAACACGTAAACAGCACTACTGCATTCTTATAACTAACCACTTTGCTCTCAATAATCTTCTCGTCATTGTCCCATTCAAGATCGGCGTCAAAATACTGCGCTGCCTTCGTAAATCGCTCTGCACAATACAGTACGTGCCCTTCACCATGAGAAAACGCCAATGTGGCAAAAGGAGCTGGAACAAAGGGTATCACTTTACTGAAAACCAAAGTTATCTGCCTCAGCGCAAATATCGGCAGTCATTCTACTAACCGAAGCAAACTTTCAATGGAATGCTCAAATGCGAATAAATCCGCTGAAATCCACATAAAGGCAACACAACTAATTAAACACTAAACCATATATGCTAAATTGTTAAGAACTGTACGAAGGAAACAGAGCTGAGAGAAATGCGAAACCAAGAACCCGCATGGTGTGGTGGTGAACAAGTTAGCTCCCGAAAAGGGTAATGTCGAGTTCGATCTCCACCACAGACACCTGTGGTACCGAGTCTTACAAATTTCTCAGCGTCATTGTGGTTCTACGAAGGTGGTTTGGAAAATTAAAAGCATTGTCATGAATGAATCGACAATCATACAGAATTCAAACTTCTGCAAAAAATCTTACAAAATAGCACTCACAAGTTTTTGGACCAGAAAGATTGGAATAGGGGAGAAGAAAGTTATGAAGGTTGTTTTCCTTGCGTATTTAAAAAAGTAACAGAAGTAACTCACCAGATCCTTCGCCGTAAACAATGCCATGTTTTTTCTGTCCACTTAAATCCGAGAACAAAACTTCTATGTTTTCGTTTTGATCGAAAACCTAAGATAGTTCTTAGACCCTACTGTAGTAATCAGAATGACTTAATTTTTGTTTATTGCTTACTCCTTTTTCATATCAGGTTACAATATGAAATACAACCACAACGAGGACGAGATATGAACAAAGACTCGAAAATTGAGGTGGGCTCCAAACCGGCGATAACACTTGGCGGGCGGACCACGTGCTATCCAAAACACCAATCGAGGCCTTTGCTTTGTCTTTCTCTCAACCAGTTTTTTACTCAATCGATACTACCAACAATCACCTCTCAATGAGAATTATTGAGGAGGACAAGTCGGAAATGAACCCACTTAAGGTGAAGCTGAAGATGCAGCATAAATCAAAACATCGTCAGTTTTACTCATTGACTACTCCTTTTTCGCCGATAATGGTAATCGCAGGTGTGTAGTCCATCTGAGATTCAGAGTTCCGTTCAAAGGTTAACATCCTTGCGGTTGTATTTTCTTATGATAGTAATGACATGCTTTTGTGATTACGATGGAAAAAGGGACAAAATCAATATGACCACCTTCAGATACTGCTTCTTGTCATTACCATCGACAACAGTGATAAGCTGAGCCACCATAGAATTTGAAAGCGAAAATGTGACCGATTGAGATCTAGGAATCGATTCATCGTAGTTGGAGATAAATCAGCGATTTTTTTGCAATTTCTGGATAACCCACTCAAAAATCGTTAACGGCATTGATGTATTAGAGATCACGCGCAGTTCTCCTGTATCAGCTAAAACTTCAATGAGAGATGAACGCTGAGTCCTTGTGGTTTTCTTCATTGGCGGCGCTGGGTTATCCCACACGGAGGAAACCTGTAAGGGAACGAAATCAGTTCTACAATACGAGCAGGAACCCTCACAATGCGAACCTGTATTAATTTTCCACAGCATTGGATCCGACCATATGACGGAATTGGAATCTGGGCCAGATCTCCATAGACATCCTTCAAATTCTCCAAAGCACAGACGTCAAGCTCAGCAGCTATAGTGGAGTTCATTCTATCTTTCCAGCGAATTCCGATCGTTCAAAGGCAAGTAATCCGCTGCAGTGTCAGTATCTCAATTTTCCTAAAAGTGAACAAGTACTTGATCAATACGCAAGAAGATAAAGGTCTAAACGCCCAAAACCTCACATGCCATTTCCCATCCCTCTTAGATATGTACCTACTAAGCAATTATCATTTACAGTATTATGAGACCTCCCCACGGTTTACCACCTCACAGTGGCTGGGAGCTGTTCTTGGGTATCGGATTGCGATACACAGAGGAGGGATTCGTCCCCGCAAAAGAGTCTCGCAGGTTCTGAAGGAGTCCGACATTTCCATCAGGAAGCCTAGCTAAAAGTGAACCAATACCCAGATCCACCACCGTTCTGGTATCAAAGTCGCGTGGTGGCAAATCTCCTTTTGATTCACAAGGGCTACGACTGCCTGTGGTGGAGAAGACCTGCGGTAGACTTTGTCTAGGCTGACCTCGGGACTCAGAGGAACCACGATGGCTACGATAGCAAAACTCCGAAAAGGTGGAAATTATCCTGCGGCCCGCAGAACCAGTGAAGACGGGCCATCCATGTATCCAAGTTTCCAGTATCATGAGACATGTGCAGTGAGCTGTATCAGTTAACAATGCAAGGAGTCCTTTCGGAAGAATGATCCGGACATTATCAGGAAAACAACATCAATCCTTCCTATTGAAGCCCACAATGGAGGTTAAACATTACACTATGGTACTAGTAGATGCACAAAAAGTTAGAATCAAGTGGCCTTAGACAAAAATGAAATCACAGCCTCCCAAAGGCAGCTTTTTCTGGACATGCTCATAATAAACTCGCATTTAAGCCTATAATTTTGACCAACTTACGACAATAGCTTTTTTTTCGATAAATTTGGATTTGCAGTTAATTCTTCTGCGGTGTAGACTTCCTTTGAACAACCTTCCGTATCAAATCCACAGGTCTTGCTTCCCACATAACTTGTACAACGCGCTGTTCAAAATTCTCTAGGAATTGCCCCTTCTTATGAGTCTCATGAAGAACTCTTGCTCAATTGACAGGAACTTTGACCAACTAGTAAAAAAAGTAGGGGTCTTCGCTAATGTATTAAACAATACACTGGTACCACTAAGTTCAAGTAGATGTATCAACAAGGGACAAACATCTCAGCTAGCAATTCCAATAAGCAATGTATTTTAAAACCTTCAATACTCTTCCAAATCTACAACAATAAAGAAAAACAACGAAACAACTGCTAACAACATCATGTGCTAAATTTCCGGCAGATGAAGGAAGTATGTAAATGAGAACCTTTAGTGATCATCGACAACATATGCATGTTTAGAGGTGGGGAGAACGCATTTAGTAAACAGAACTCACGCTAAGTAATCGAACACTAAGGTAAGAATGCTAACAACGCTCCCATATAACACAGAAGCGATACGATTAACAACCAGAATTCGTTTAACGACAAACGATCAATTTAGCTACTCTGAAAATCACAGTTCCTCAACCAGCTTTCTAGCCTTACGTACACCGTCATCATCATAACCTGATCCACCATCTTCTCGAAAGCCCTCAGGCAGCGCTTCTACATCTTGCGGGATTTCCATCTCTCCACTCATGTCCGATTGCTTTGCACGAAAGAGAGTTAGATCGAACTCTACGCGTGACTCTGCTTCCTTAAACATTGATTCACAAACTAAGAAATACAGAAACAAAAGCCAAGAGTCAAGGTGGACACATTCAGAAATCTGACATCGTCGCTATAGATTCCGTCACTTGTATCCTCCTCCTCACTGCAGCTATCGGTTGCCACTTTTTGCACGACAACATCTATTCTACTCCTGGATCCCTCCGTCAATGACTGGTTTGCAGCTGCTATTTTTGGAATGAAGGAGCAGACCCTGAAATAATATAAAAGACAACTAGTAGTGATTAATGATACACTCGATACTTGAACGGCCCGTCCTCACTGGTTGTGCGGGCTCCAGCACAATCACCGTTGTTCAGAGATCTGCTGGTTAAGCCATTGTGGCTCCCTGGAATCCCGACGTCGGCCTGGCTAAAGTCAACCCAAGGTCTTCACCATTATAGGCAGTCGCAGCCTTTGTCGATCGGAGGGAGATTTGCCACCATGCGACTTTGATACTAGGGCGGTGGTGAATTCTGATACTGGTTTGAATGAATGACATAACCACCATTTTTGCAAACTGAACGTAAGCCACCTAGTATAGATAAATAAAATAACCTTACGAGTTTTGTGAAAATTTAGGCTCATCATGAGAATTGTAAACGAGACAATTAAACAAACGAAACAGTTTTAAAACACATAATACTAGAATGGATGGCCCATCTTCACTGGGTGTGCGAGTCCCCGAATAATTTCCACGTTTTTTTGAGTTTTGCTGGTTTAACCACTGTGGTTCCCTAGAGTCCCAAGGTCAACCTAGCGAAAGTTTGCCCCAGCATGCCACCAACACGGGCAGTCGCCGCCTTTGTGGACCAGAGAGAGCGGTGACGGATCCTGGTATTGAGTCACTCTTAGCTGAGATTCCTGACGAAAACGCTAGACTCCTTCTCAGCTTTGGAGGCCCCACTGGGGGATGGATCCCCACGCTGTACATCACAGCCCAACACCCATGAGCCGGTGAACAGCTGTGACGAGCAAACAAAAATATTGAACAGCTAAATGACTCTTGACAGACAAACGCTATCATTTGTAAGAAAAGCCGTACATGATTAACTAAAACAGAGACTTCTACGTTGTTGCTTTCCAAATAATCACTGACATAGGAAAAGATTGAAGAGGAGAAAAAAGTGGGAAAGGAAATCAATGTCCACCTTCTAAAGAATCTTGATAGAGTTCCGCTCATTGAATTCTCATCGATTAAGTAAATAGATGAGATAAATAGTATAATGCTAAGTTATGCAGCGGCTTTAGCCCAACCCAATACTCCTGAACAAGAACAACAGGTCCTAGGTCAGATCCTTCTATTGTTTCTTTGGCAATGACACAACTCTACCCAGTATAACACCTTAGCTGCTTCAATCTCAAATCGTACTCTCATTAAATGATCAACGACTAACCTGTTAGTGATTTTAGATGCACTAACAGACTCTATTTGTGGCTTTTGTGTCCCAGAATTAAGAAGAAACACGGAATCTAAATAAATAACAACACTCATATTCCAAAAGGCAAAGTTCATCACTAGTCACACTGTTGCAAAAGGCTCACCAGTATCCCTCTTTGAAATTTTCGTCAGTGTAACTGTGTCATGCGTCGGTCGCTTTGTCATTTATCTAGTGGAATGAAATTTGAAAACACAATAAAATCAAAAGAAAAATGAAAGAAGCAGAAACTAGCTGAGAGAGAGAGAGAGAAGCGAAATGAAGGACCAACATAGTGTGGTGGTCAACGCGTTAGTCTCCGGAAAGGGTACTAGAGCGTTCGTCCTCACCACAGACACCTGCGGTCCAGAGTTTTGCAAATATCTCAGCGTCATTGTGGTTGAAAGAAACAGAGTTCAAATACTACATGGAGAGTGTTCCTAATAGATTTCAATACTACACCAATCAATAAAACTTTATGTTACGAGTAGCAATCCACAAACCATTGGTAAGAGACAGTCTATGATCAGAGTCTATTAAGATGGTGAAGTGTTGTAACAATGAGCCTCAATATCTTCAACTGAGTGATCACTTAGTGGATAAAAAGAGCACAGCATATGTACTAGCAAGCAACTTACAAAAACAGAAAGATAACCGATTACAATTATTATGTTGCTTAGAAAAGCAAGCCGGAATAAACTCTTCACCCGGAGAACCCTCTTATTCTTCAGATAAGATATTTCCAGTTTTTAGAGAAGATAGTAGCAACTTAGTTAGTCGTGAGAGGAACAGCAGCGTCAATATACTTTTGAGCTAAGCTCGGTCCATCAATGGGTTCATCAAAATCTAGATGAAGCACCACAGCAGGAGCCAATCCTAACTCTGCTAAGCTCTTTGTTAGATCCGCTATAGGTTCGGAACCTCTTCCAGGATCACAAAGAGAAAACAAAGATGCAGCATTCGAAAGGTGCTCTGCAACAAACTCTTGCACAGATGAAAACGGCTCATAACAACCAAAGGTGCCCTGAAATGTAATAAACGAAATATTCGCTTGTGTACTAGATATGCACCGTGCTAAGGAGGTACACATACTTGAAGAACGTATCTGTCAGGTAGGCGAATACGTACTAAAGTGTATTTATAGGAATACTGACGCTGTTTCGCGTCTTTTTCCCTCATCTCCCGAGTACGCAAGGTAAGCATCTGGAAGTTATTAAATACAATTACCAAGAAATTAGCACTGGAATTTGCTTCGTTGTAATATTGAGATCTTGAAGAACGATGATGATCTAACTGTAAATATTTGAAAGCGACAACGCACAGGACAAGCGCTCTAAAGCTCTCAGCGATGATCCATTCCTGAAGGATCCGCCATGCATTCGGCTTCATTAGGCACCGTTGGAGGTGACCGAATGCGTATCTCTCCTTTACAATGACTCGTGGTGGTCAACCGATGCATCGAGTCATTGGTGCTATCCTCCCAGACAAGTTTGGTACCAATTTCGGAGGATGGAAGGTTTGGTGAGTCTGTAGCGTGGAGAGCGCTCCCGTGTATATTACAGGGCGCTTCCGATCGCTGCGCTACACGCGCTCAACACAGCATACAAAGACAAATGTTTGTAAACAAAATGCAATGGTTTTCCAACGTCAACATGATGTCAGAACATGCTTGCTCGCCAATTTTTTTTTTGTAAAAAACTAACTTTGTCGACATCATCTGTCCTCACTTGTTGTTCACGACGAATATCATCAACAGTCAAGTCGAAGAAATCGTTAGGCAATTTAGGTGTGTAAATACGCTCATTCTCACGAAGCAAATAAATCTGTAAACTACAGAAATAAGTAAGAAATGCTAAATCAAGATGTTACTATTATTCCTACAAAAGTCACTTATAAAAATGTTAGGTGCACTTATTCGGCTCACTGTAAAACATATGCAGTAATATAAACAACAACTAACCACTGTTTGACGGGACACCTTGATAGGCACACTTTGACCGTCTCGAAGCAGAGAAAGCGCAGCAACAAGGCGACCAGTATTGTTGACCTTTTCCTCAGAAATAACCAAGAAAGGCTCCGGCGGATCGCCGTGCTTTAATGGTTCTAACCTTTCCTCGAAACCAACAGACTTTAGAAACTCAGGCCCGCCCTTCACACTGGCAACACGCTCCTATATTAACAAGAGGATCATTAGACCTAACTAGGTCATAGCGACGGACAGTAACTACCTGATATGCTTTATTAGACAATCGTATTCTCCTGTACTTAGGCTCGTTAGGATACTCAATTATATTTTGGAGGTATTTTCCGATAGTTTCAATGGCAACCTAAAAGAAATGAGGTTATTCGACATCAAGCTAAGTGGCACTTTTGGAAATTCGGCCAAACATTTAACCTCTTTCGGTTGTTTCTTATTCAATGAATAGAGGAGAAGCACGGCGGGAACTACAGTGTCTTCATCAACACATAACAACTGCGAGGTAAGAAACTCCTCAATTGCTTGCATCAGCTGGAACGAGGTCATAAAGTTCTTTTGGAAGCAAGAAAATTTAAAATAGAATTTTTGACCTCCATTTCATAGTAGTAGCCAAATGTACACGAAAAACGCACCTCAGCTTTCGTCAATGCCTCGTCTTCCCCGAGTAATTCACAAGTGAAATACACGCCTTTAATAACATCCGCATGTTCGAATTCCCGAATTTCAGGACCAGCTTTGCTGAAAAAAAAGGGAATAAAACTGCATCGAAGAATACAAGTCATTCCACAATGTCGTTTTCAAGAAAAACGTAACCAACTCGCTGCGATAAATGCGTTTCTGTTCTTCGAAAAAGTCCGAATAAGAAAAAAACACCAACTTAACGACCACTCGACAAACTTCTCGCCTTGTAGATTAATGTTTAATAGAAGAATAATTATCGCATTGTTCAACATCTAGTCTAGCTCTTTGAAAGCCATCACCTTTTCTCCTCAAAACTGAGCTCCTGAAGAGCATTACAAGCATCTTTTCGACGCCTCTCCTCCTCCAACTCCCGCTGTGCCTAGAGTGGTTACTAGGGATGTCACATCGGCAATAAGTAGAGGCTACTATTTCCTTCCATAAAAGAGAAGTTAACATATACAAGAACGATATGACTTTACAATCATTTGAATCTTTTTTTGACTGCCGCTAATCTGTGGTTCGGCTTTGTAAAGGCGTTTCAAAGCTGCCTGCGCAGCGACATCAGATGCAGCAATGCGATCGATTGCTCCACCCTAAATTATAATTGATACCAACCATGAGAATGCGATAAAACAATACTACTGAATCATAATCCAAGAACTAAAGGAAAATCTAAACCATTCACTTGACTAGCGCCCGTCACTATACTAGGAGCAGTACCGTCACTTGAGTCAAGTTTTCGCCCTGGTCCGGTCCGTTTAAAATGCTTATCGACCTTCTTTTTCTTCAAAAAGTTCTTGAATGCATCCATTTCTTATTCGATTTCTAAAACAAACGAAGTAACAGCTGATGCAACGGTATTCGTTAAGGTGATCAGGATGTGCTAAACGACTCATGGTCCGAAAGTGAACAGTTGGCAAGTCAAGTAAACACCTTTGTCTTTCATTTTTATTCTGATTCTACCCTCTTATGTTGCATTTTCTGCTCCATGTCGTTTATTAGTAGACCTCATAAAATCTCAGCCATGCCATAATTTGTTGTAAATCCTTTTTGATAACCCATTATAACCTCGTTTAGAGTAGGCATACACGTCATTTCTTCTCGTTCATCAAGATAAAAACACAAAAGTGCATAGATCTACGAGGATCATCAGAGTGAAAAGACATAGACATAATCAGCTGCTGCGCAAGATGAAAAGAAGACTAAAAACAAGCAGTGAGAGGCGAAGAGAGCTCTTAAGAGGGTGAACACGGTCTCTCTAATAGAATTGAATTCGAATGACTTTTCCTTTGCTAATAAAGAATACGAAAAATTCTTCTGCAAGCTATATACTAAAAACTACAGTTATCATTAACGATTAGCTTGCCTGTCACTAGGTGGATAAATATGAGCAGAAGGACGAAATGATAGACTTTTTATAAAAGACCTTTCCATGGCACAAACTAAAACTGGCAGAAAAAAACTCACTTGTTTCTTTTTCTTGCCTTCCCTTTTCGCCCCTTCTATACACAGGCTTCTGTTGCTCTCTGATGGTGAAGTTGATGATCACAGGTGAGTAGTATTTCCAAGCAATGGCAATACAGACAGAGAAGAAACCGAGGAGGAACAGAAGGAGGAGACCAACACCGACCTGAAGGATCAATTTCTGTGATTATGCTAAACCGAACATCGATGGACATCTGTAAAAGTCGATTAAATTCACCAATTAGCGACATTGGTACCGACACCAGGGCGATGACCGATCCTGGTATTGGTTTATTCTTAGCTGGGCTTTCTGCTGGAAACGTCGGACCAACAACCAAATAAGCAATTTGTGATATCTAGTGGTACTTGGATAGCCCGTCCTCACTGGTTGTGGGAGCCGTAGAATAATTTCCACCTTTTTGGAGTTTTCCTGACTTAGCCATCGTGGTTCCCTGGAGTCCCGACGTCAGCAGCCATGCCAAAGATCGCCCCAAGTCCTCACCACCATTGGCAGTCGATGTCCTTGTGGATCAGAGGATTTGCTACCATTCGATTAGTTTAGCACCAGGTCGGTGGTGGATCCTGCTCTTGGTATATTCCGAGCTCAACTTCCTGATGGAAATGCCGTTCTCATTCTAAGCTTGGGGGACCTTGCCAGTGGATGAATCCCTCCGCTGTACATCCCAGCCCAACATCCAGGAACACCTTCCAGTCACGACAAGGCGATAAACCGCTGGGAGCGATATTTAGTAGTGATAAAAACAAAACAATATTAGTCATGAAAATTGTACTCATCTGAATCCTGTCGATATCGTAACGTTTAGCAGTGCTGGTAATAAAGCAACCAAGATGAAGAAGTACACTAGAACAAGGGTTTTCGTTTCCTGTTAAAGAGTCCTGAACAACAGTCTCTTGAATAGCTCCAATATCGTCCGATTCTGTTTGCAGGACAGTAGTCGATGGGTTTTGGTAGTCGCCCATCAACTTCTCCACATTCACTACAAGCAAAGTAAGAAGATTCTAAGAAAACAAATTAACCTCTACTATAAAAATCTGGAAATTCTGATAAAACAAATAGGCTGCATAAGACGAAAAACACCAGAAACATATAAGGTCATAACTGTAGCCGGTCCAAGCATTTAGTTGAAAAAAACAATTCTTCCAGGCTCTGAAGAAGGCGATTCTGCCGAAAAACGTCAGCTACGGTTGTGTTGTATGTGTGTTATTGTATGGAAGTAAACGTATACTGTTCAAAAACCTCATGATTACTGAGAAAGAAAGCAACAAAAAAGACAACTCCAAAAACAAATAGTGCCGTCCATTTAGTACTGCTAACCGAATGTATAAATGGAAATTTGGATCTGAACAACGACCAAACAATGAACGCAAGCGGTACGTGCCGTGCATTTAGCGCACGAATCTGAGCAATCTCTGTTTGGTGGGAAAACTCGTACAGCAATGGCAGGTGGCGTGGGTGCAAATCGATAGGACGTAGAAAAAAAGGTGGCAGAGGATTTATCTAGGGTAGATAAAACGTACTACTCTTAGTCCTATTAATTGTAAGGTGTATCTAGCGTGCAATAGTAACTTCCCCCTTTAGTCCTAACACCTACCAGAGCAATATCCTGCGCTTCAATTACTGGATGAATACTGAGAAAACACTTTTCCAACTAAGCATCTGTTCATTGTTTTCGGTCAAGAAGCACCTACGGGTAGTTTGTTAGGTTTCTCCATAGGGCTTGTGCATACTCGAGGCTATATTTTCAAAAATTCTGCTCGAGTAGGTGTAGAGAGCACATCCGATGCGAACAAAAGTCGCTTCCACGACTTCATACCAATTCGATATGCTTATTGATCCTATCACATCCTCATAGCCGTGGATAAATGCAATTCCGCTTTAAATCCTGCACTAGAGAAAAATGGGGGCACATTTCGCGAACCTTCCAAATTCTTCAAGGAAAGCCCGCTGTCGTTTTCATTTGCACTTTTCGCTAGCAATTAAGTGAGTTAGGGTTAAGCACTTAGGACTCTAACTCTCCTAACGCCTCAGATAAGTAAGATTAGCCGTTTCTACGGTAAGTATTTGCTCTTTACTGTTGTATACAGCGCTATAAATAAGATCCTACCTACACCTGGTACGCGGGTCAGGACGAGTTTCTGCGGTTCGTGAGTGGTCGCATCTAGTGACTATGATGAATTCCCGTCAATGCGCCCCTTCATCCACTTGTTTCAGAGCTTCTATGTTTTGTGTTTCGAGTAGTACTCCAGTTAAAGTTATGTCTTTGTTGTCTGATTGTCTCATTATCTGATTTACCTGTCGATAGCGTTTACGGCCTCTTTACAGTTAAGTAATGCCTAAAAATAAGGGAAAAGGAGGTAAGAACAGAAGAAGAGGAAAGAATGAGAATGATTTTATGAAGCGTGAACTAGACACTAAAGATGTTGGACAAGGTGGGTTCCATTTCATTTGGTTTATATATCGCTGGAGTGGAAAAGAAATCTACTTGACTTTGTAGAGTATGGTCAGGTTTCTAAAATGCTTGGTAATGGACGGGTGTTGGCATTTTGTTTCGATGGAAAACAAAGAGTATGTCATATACGAGGAAAATTAAGAAAGAAAGTATGGATCAATACGGGGGATATTATTCTGGTTGGGCTCAGAGACTATCAAGACGACAAGGTTTGATGAGTTTTCGAACGTTATGCATGCTTTATTAACGGTTTTGTACCAGATATACTTACAACCTTGAGAGGTTTCAGGGTGATGTGATTCTTAAGTATACTCCTGACGAAGCTCGTCGCCTTAAAGAAAGGAATGAATTACCCGAACACGCGAAGATAAACGAAAATGACGAGCAAGAGGAGGGAGAGATTGAATTTAGTTAGTCTTTCATTCAATTCAAAGTTTTGTTTCTGAGAGGCACGTGTAGAGCAGTGGTTAGAGGCGCCACGCAATACACATGGGATCGATTCCCACGCCCCTATCCCACCAAGTCTTCAATCCTTTCGGCGTCGGCAAATTGGTACCAGACTTGCCTGGGAGGATAGCAGCACTGGCTCGATACATCGACAGGTTACCATGAGTTATAGTGAAAGCATTCAGTCACCAGCTATGCTTAATAATGTCGAATTCATAGCGCATCCCTCAGGGAATGATCAACTCCGAGAGCTCTTTCCTTTAACCTATTCTTATTTCTGAACATGTAACTTCTTTAGGAGATCTTGGAGCAGAATCTGGAGACGATGAAGGTGAAGAGGAGGATAACAATATGCCATCGAGTGGTAGTGATCGAAGCGAAGAAGAAAGTGAGGACGAAGAGGAAGGAAGCGATAGTGAGTTTGCCATCTTCAAGTCTTATTGTGTTATTGTGGACATGCATCTCTGAACGGACGTTAGCCAAGAAATATGCTTTGCGACTGCAAGTTTCTTACACAGTGCATTTAATTATGTTGAACTATGTCAAGTTATCGACAGGTTCATTAAGGTTACCCCACTCTCATTTTCCCTATAAATCAGTACTGCGGAGTTTAATGAACTGAAATACTGCTTGGATGCTTGGATGGCCCGTTTTCACACAGGTTGTGCGGGCCCCAGCATAATATCCATATTTTTTCGCACTTTTGCAGGTTTAGCCATCGTGGAAGTAGTTAGGATCAGAGGGAGATTTGCCACCATGTGACTAATTCGATATCAGGACGGTGGTGGTGGTGGTGGATCCTAGTATTGGTTTACTCTTAGCTGGGCTCCCTGACGGAAACGCCGGGCTCCTCAGCTTGAGAGGCCCTGCTAGGGATGAAACCCTCGCCGCACATCGCAGCCCGACACCTAGGAACACCTCCTAGTCGTGTTGAGGCGGCAAGCCGTCGGGAAGAGTGTAGTGAAAGTCTTTCGAAAGAATAGTTTCTGTTTAAAGTGGCTGTATTCGCTTGTTGAAATGGCGCAAAAAGAAATTTTGACTGCAAACAGGTAAATGGAAGTTATTCCCGTGTTGAACTTCTTTTGCTATAGAACAATCGCATTTTTTTAGTGAAGTGACACATCAGCAACATTATGAAACTAGCGCAGTTTCCCTGCTGCCACTATTTACTTGCTAGTCTGGTCCTTAGATGGGGTGACGGAGTTAATGCGGTCCTTGGGTGAGGTAGTAAAAAAATAGCTGAAAATAACCTGTTGGCGTAACATCGGAGGAACGGTTTTCATCAACCGCATTTGTTTTATCGCTAACATAGAATGTCAGTACATATTTTGTAGGCGATGAAGATTCTGACAACTTTATCAAGGAAGAGGAATTAGCGCAAGGTCATGGACTTAAACCTAGTGGACGTGGGGGAAGAAATAAGTACAACAAGAGGAGATGAGTTCTGTTGGTGCAGCGTAACCAGTCATGTGTTCTCTGCGTGTTGTCGATTTTTGTGGTGCGTCGATATTTAAGTTTGTCCTCTATTATAAAATTTGATTTCGGTTAGTGTTGTTCTGATTACAAGTTTAATACAAGATTTTATCGGTAAAATGTGTTTGGTAACAACAGACGTCGCTTAATTATGAACATTGTAATGTTGTTTGAATGTTTAATTTAGTGAGAATATTGATTCTAGATCTATCGATCCATGGAATTCATAATTTTGAAAAAATTTTAGTCTAAAAAATGACACTTCTAAATCCGTCGCCGTTCCTTAAGCTCTATGTGACTAATAGTTTCGACCTAACAAAAGTTGCTTATACGTTCACAATTATGTAGATTGAAAAAGGTGCATGTTTTCTATAATGCTGAGATATTTGCACAACTCCGGACCGCAGGTGATCGTTAGAACTAGCTGAGAGACAGGCGAAACGAAGGGCCGGCATGGTGTGGTGGTAAACGCGTTACTCTCCGTAAAGGACAATAGCGCGCTCATTCCCCACAGTAGACACTTGCGGTCCGGAGTTTTGCAAATATCGGAGTTGTAGAAGTTATATTTCGCAACATACAGTGCCGTCAAAAAGATTAGGCAGTAAATAAAAAGGTTACGATGCATATTTTTCCAAATCTTTGTTTGTTTGTTTGTTTGTTTGTTTGTCACACAAATTTCTTTCGCAATATCAACTATATTAATTGGATAGCCTTCTCTCTACCAAGGATCTAAGTTGCCCGATATGAGAGAAACTATTTTCTGCATGTGAAAAATTCGCCGAAGAGGATATTGTTCGTGTCAGGAAGTCCCCGGCCCCATGATATCTGTCCTTTGTAAGTAGCAGCGTAACGGTGAACACTGCTGCTAATGAGAAGAATACTAAGGATACTGTATTTCTACATTTGCTGTGGTTGTATGTTGAAGCTTGCTGCCTAATGGCACCGCTACAATAAGACCATTTAAATACTTATTCGTATATTTTAATAAGATTATGCACTGGTTGGATTATTTCCACACCGCGCCCTAATATTTTCTGAAAATATTAGGGCTCACCACTCTTTATTTTCACTGCGTTCCACTCATACGAGCAATATAAACAGAAGGTTCACTTTACAATCTATGCTTTACATTTATGGATTTCAAATAAAAAGCTAAAATGCTGTCAGCACTGACGCACCAATGCCTGACGTATGCGCCATGCATTCAACTTCATTATCGTTAGAGGTGATTGAATGCATTGGCCTTTACAACGACTTCTTGATCGCTAAAGTTCATAAGGGGGCGAGTAGCGCCACTCGTAGTGGTGCCGATCATCACGGGCACTGCCGGAGTTCGACAAGTTTATCGTTTCTTCGTGGTCTAGGAGTTAGCACTAAACTTTTCTGGGGAAAGGTCACTCTCTGCGACAAAAGTGAAATTATTCTAGTCCGGATAACTCAGGACTAAGAGGAATCGACTCGACCAACATACAGCGAAATGCATGGATTAAGGAATATCTTTAAGGAGCAACCGAATCTGCAATCAAAACGTTTTAACATCTTCGCGGATAATAGGTACGAGGGAACGAGTCTTTATGGAAGGGGTCCTGGAACCTGCACAGTAGATTTCAAGGACGGGTCGTGTGAAATAAGATGAGATAAATAATAATAATAATAATAATAATAGTAATAATAGTAATGGTAATTTGATAATAATAATTAACAGTAATACTTACTTACTTGGATACTTGTACGGTCCGTCTTCACGAGCTGTGCGGACCCCAGCACATATGCCATTCGTTCCTTTCTCTCGCAATGGTAGTCCATGGTGGTGATCTTGTTCGAGCATGGCAGCGCTTGCGAGTCTCATACCGTGATCTTTAAAACAACTGCAACTGCGGGTACAGCTGATTAACTCTGTTAGCGAACACGTCCGCCCAACGTGTAGGGGTCGTCCAAGAGGACGCTTGTGTTCTCTTGGAGTCCACTCTACTGTTCTTTTCGTCCATCTGTCGTCGGCTCTTCTCATTGTGTGACCTGTCCATCTGTTTCGCTCTCGATGTATATTCTCCTGGATCTCGAAGATGTGACAAATTTCGAAGGTCAGAGCTTCGCATTCCGGCTACATATTGAGGGTGCCGGTTATATTTCAAAAGACGTCGCTCAAGAGCTCTGTGACTAGTGCAAAGCATTCTTGACGTAGTTGAGGTATCAACACACGTCTCTGCAGCATAACAGAGCGCTGGGGTGACCGTAGAATCAAATTGGTGAGCGCGGATTTTCGGATCTTTCAGTTGGTCAGTAGCTTCCTAGAGAGGCCCGAATGCGGCCCAATCTGCTCTCCTTCTATCTAGTTCCTCCTTCATGTTGCTTTACATGTTTATTGATCGCCCAAGGTAAACGTACGAGGTGGTCTCTGCAGTGAGAGAGCCATCCAATTCAATTTTTCCGCCTTCGCATTATAGGTTTTTCATGAACTGGGTCTTCTTTCGATTTATGCGAAGTCCGATCTTTTTCCCAGCTTCGATGAGCGCGTTGATCATCACTTCTGGTTCTCTAGTACTTCTTGAGAAAATGACAATGTCGTTGGCAAAACGACAGTTTGATAGGAATTTTCCATCAATGCGTATGCCTTTCTCATTCCAATCGAGTGGCTTCATTATCCACTGCAATTCGGCACTGAACAGCTTTGACGATATTGTGTCGCTCTTTCGAACCCCTTTTCGTATGAGTATTGTAAGAGGTCGAAGGAAAAGCTGCATTTTCGTAGTGCAGTTCCGATAACAGTCGGACAGAGTCCTTATGTAGGATGGCTCCACTTCTTGGTCGACGAGAGCTGATAGAATTGCATTCGTTTCGACACTGTCAAACGCTTTCTCACAGTCGACAAAGGTTAGGACTAGAGGCAAGTGGTATTCCCGACAAACTTCGATGACTCTGGACACGGTTTCGATGTGGTCTATGCAGCGAAATCCTCGAAATCCTGCTTGCTCGACTAGTTGCGCCTCATCCAACGTCCTTGATGTGCGCGGGAGGATAATCTTCGCGAAGAGCTTGCAGAGTAAACTTAGCAAGCATATGGGACGATAGTTACGAAGATCCCTTCGGTCTCCTTTCTCGGGTAGGATAACCGTGCGCAACGTCCTCCGCTGGTCTGGGATTTTCTTCTTTTGAACGTAGCCTGTCATATGATTTGCACATGTAAATTGTGGCCTTCAGCTCTAAGGAAATCAGTAGTGATATTATCGGGTCCTGGAGCTGTGCCTCTTTTTATACTTTCTATCGCAACTCGAACCTCCGACGGTAGAATTCTAGGTGGCTTTTTTCCAACGGGGATATTAGGGCCCGGGACGGAGATTGTGGAACGGAAAATGTTGGTGCATAACGTTTCCGCTATTAATTTCATTTCATATAATGGCGGGAAGTTTTGACCATCCCGTCTTCGTTCATCAGAGCTGACAGCGGAACATTACAATCACACAAGTCGCGACGGCTTTTCAGACTGCTTCTTTCCTCTGCTGCTTCCAGTATTTTCTTCTGTTTGTACCGTTTTAGATCTCCTGCAAAACTCTTTGGCAGCTGGCATTTATTAATAGCAATGTTAAACGTGTTGCAGTAGGACCAAGTTTCAGTTTCCTTCCTTTTTCGAGCAACTCCTTAGTGATGGAGATGCGATCCGATCTTCTTGCTTGAGGAACTGAAGTTAACTCGGCACAACTTTTCAGTCCTTCGGCAAGCGGCTCGTAGTCTTCGGTCAGGTCTTCTTTAATCTGTCAGTCACGTTTAGACAGGACTTCGTTCAGAATGTTCTCGTCGTATACAACTAGAATTTTTCCTCGTGGTGGATGAAGAGAGTTCTTTTCCAGCTTGCGGCTGAATCGAATCTTCGCGCGAAGAAAGCGGTGATCGGAACTAGTACGGAATGACGGGACTACCGATGTGTCAAGTAGGTACCATCTTCTATTTGTCAGGATATGGTCGATCTCCGCGTGAGTCTTGCCGTCAGGAGACTCATG